TTCGAAAAGCTCGAGTCAGTTGCTGTTCAGAGACTAGGTCTGGTCTATGAAGATAAAATTTATTGCGATATATCATTTTGTAGCCCAAGCAAATCTGAATCGAACAATATTAAAAGTAGCTCGAAACTTTTTAGCAGTAAAAATATTCTAGATGATTCTTTAAATGATTCGCCCATCTCTGTCGGCAGCATCGAAAAGGAATACTGAAAGAGTTCATTTTTTTCGTGTGAGACTTTCGAAAACTTGCTGAAGAACCTTGAGAAACCGTTTTTAATGACGTAGAATTTACTGTGTTCAAAAGACGCTATCAAACAATGTACTTTTTTAAAAACATATTTTTGACAAAAAATACACAATAAACTTCAAAATACATAAGCTTGAATTACACACACCAATTACACAAATGATAATTCAACTAAAAACAAGTCAATACGTTGATTTCTTAACAAAATTTAATTTAGAAAACGTAGTATAATTAGAATAAGTTGAAGTTAGTCGACTTTTTTAATCGGGAAGAGCATTTATGTATAATACAAAGAAAATTTTCAAGAATTTGCTTTTCTATTGTAGGGCTTTCAAATCCAATAGAAGCTATGTTTCATGTTCAACCGTGGATGCTACTCGTGATAATTCCACTAGCATGTGTCAGAGAAGGTATTTATGTATTATTATCTCTTCTATATAATTTAATTCAATCCTTTTGATTTTCTCTGCAGGTCCTCATTTAATCTACGATATTCGACTATTAACTCTTCATGATTTTCATCATATTGGTCATTATACTATTATTGTTTTGTCCAGTGCATTACTGGCATTTGCACTAGAATTCAGTGAATTTTTACTTGTATCAAATACATCAAGTTTAACATTATCTATATCTGGCATTTTCAAAGTAAATAGTTTGTATATATTGTTTCGACAAATATTTGTGTTTTATTTTAATGTAACTGTTTGTTTTGCAGGAAGTGGTCATGCTATATTTAGCAGTCGAGTACAATAATAATCAGTTAAATCGCTTGAATTTTATCGGACTTTGTATTTGTCTATCTGGCATTATAGTACATTGTGTTTCAAAAATATTTTCAATGGAAAGTATGTCGGAGTACTGAGTTTACAAAAATTATAGTGCATCATCTCCTTAATTTCAACTTTTAGATGAGCACTACGGCCTCAATTATCATCGCACTACTTATTCTTTGTCAAATTTAGATATCTATCACAGATGTAATTCTTTCCTATAAATATCGTCAAGCATTCATCTATAAGTTCATCAGTTTGCTGTTTAATATCCTCGCACGCAGTACTCACTCACTTTACTTTTGAATTTTGATTTCTATCTTGAGCATTGCTTTCTGCTCTTATTTCAATCGGAATTGTATTAAATTAGTATTTTCTGTTTAGATGAGAAATCTCCGCCGTCTGATCACATTGCATCTGAACGTTTATTACGAAAATCCGATAGTCAACATTCAGATGAATGGTCAGCTGAGCATGAACTTCAAATGCCGTTTATTCGACGAAATAGTATCTCAGATTAAACATTCACACATGTCTTCTTCGTTCAGATTAACTAGTATTCTAGTGTATAGTTTTTGTTTGTTGTTTTTTACTAGAAAGGTTGTTATCTTTATTTCTATTTATTTTATCGTTACGGTTAAAGTTATTGGTGCTATATTTCCTGTTATTTAAAAAAATAGATTATTCGATAAAATAAATGAAATTTATCTAAAAATATTTAAATGAAGGTTTCTCTAGAAAAAAAATCAAGAATTTACCAAAAAAAGTGAGACAGCGAGACAATGCATAGTTTTTTTCAGAGAGTCATTGACCAGTGTTTAAGAGAGAGACTGCACATTAAAGTTTTAAAATCTGAAATACGATATAAGAGTAAAAAGTCATTTAATGGACATATATATGAGTTGTAGGCGTCAATATTTTTATGCTATTAGCCGACCCCTAGCATAATAAAAATATTTCAACCCTTAATTTTTTGTTTTGACCGATACAAAAATGGAAACATTTATTCTCATAATATCCATCCATTCCATTGGTATGAACTCAACAACTAGAGAATAGTATGGAGAAAACGTTTATATCAAGAAACAACGTAGGAGAAAGTGAATCACTTTTGAAAGGAAACTTAGTTATCCAATGTTACAGTAACTGATATTTATTTCAAACTAAAAAATAAAAAAAACTTGTCCAGTAATATTCAAAAAGAAAAAGAAAAATGTTTACAAAAAACACCGCATCTATACAAAAAACATACATGACAAAATAATAGGTAGGTAATAGTATGAGATTTCATTGATGAAATGGTTGAATAGAATAAATATATCCAGGATTTTCTGTTTCATCATTTCTTAAACATGTTACAACACGAACTGAGTTTTGATACGGTTCGAGACCTGTGTTTCGAGATGATGAACTTAAGTCTATATCACGTTGATCACCATCAACTAGTGATCGATCATATTTGCTTATTTCACGAAACTTGGATAAAAATAATCGTAATGGTTCAACATAATTTTCAAAACCAAGAGTTTGCATTGCTTGAAGAATATCCTCACCATTTATTGTTTTTCTTCTTTCTTGTAAACAACGATCACTCGCTTCGGATGTTATAAAACTAATATATTCAGATACACATCTAAGTAAATATATTTATATTAGTTTCACATTATAGATGATAAAGTAAGAGTAAAATCTACGTACTCTTGTAACGTTTCTTTTGCATCTTTAGCAATTTTTCCTCGTCCTTCTGGTACACCTTTTTTCATAATTTTTGCTACGTTTGCTATTGGAAGAAAACGATCTTGTTCACGAAGGGGACCCGACTGGATATGAATCTCATCTTCTTCAGAGCCACCATAAACATTCGTAACATGCATATCATCATGAGAATTACTATCAGTAGAATGAATAGAATCCATCTAGAAAAAGAAAACAGTAACTTAAATCAGTACTTTAAAATGAGTAGTATTTTTTCATAATCATAGATTGCAATCGAGATTACCAACGGACTCCATTGGATTAGTACTTTTCTTTGTTTTTACTGAAATAATTGCTAAAAGACGAACAATTGTCATTCTAAAGTTATCCAAAGGGAAGTTTATGTCTTTCACGAATGTAATAATGATAATAATAATTTTAAGCAAGCTAAGGGAGCATTTCAAAATTCTTGCCGTTCTGCCGCGGCACAACGGATTTATTTTAATGACATTTCGATATATTATCGGTTTCTTTTGATGTATGTATACGTATACATGAAATTTATTTTGGTACATAGATTT